CTCTCAGATGTGTGCTCTCATGTGCTCTCATATGTGCTCCCATATGCTCTCATATGTGTGCTCTCATTTGTGCTCGTGAACCTCGATGTGCAGATGTTTTTGAAGGGTTTTGAATTTCAATGAACTTGCCGTTCTGTTCCTCTTTACACTATTTGGGGTCCCTTGCCGGTGTAATTGTATGTTTCATACTTGGTAAGTACATGTTTTGCCGTGCGTGCTCGCCTCAAGCTAGCTTGGTAAGTACATGTTTTGCCGTGCGTGCTCGCCTCAAGCTAGCCGCTGTGCTCTTGTGTCGTACCTGCCGTTCTGTTTCCTGTGCCATGGATGCTCGCGTTTCCGCGCTGGAGGGTCGCGTTGGTAATCTGTCTGCTCTTGCCACTTCTACTGCGCCTGCTCTTGGTGTTCGCTCAAGGTGAGTTTAAAACCCACTTGGCGGACCTATGTGCACAATGGGCCAAGGGGGCGGAGGAACGTGACTCCCAGCCCTCCCCCCCCCAAGTTCCAGCTTTTTTGGGCTGTGGTCTGGCAGTTGGGGGGCCAGGGCCTACAAGGGGAGCCGATGCAGCTCTTGGGTTGATCGGGCGGCGGTGGAAGGTTGTTTCCATGGCGCTATGCCTGAGGGCGACCGGCCGCGGGTACTCAACTTCACGTTTGCCAAGACCGCGGGTGGGCATCAAGCACGTGTGTTGTGTTTCTCGCCCAATGTCCGCACTTGCTGTCAGAAACAAGGAGGGACCTTCCCTGTGTGTGGAATCCGCCCCGCGCGGTTCCAGCCTCCTCCAGTTCTTCGCCGTGTTCTTAAATCAGGCAGATTTTGGAAGGGCGCCAAGGGTGGCCTCTCTAAGGGCTCTGGATCCAAGGGCGGTGGTCGCAGCACAGCCAAGCGCGTGGCAGACCGGCGCGCTAGCGCGCTGTCGGCTGAGGATGGCCGGCAACAGAAGCGCGTATTCTGACGCATTAGCGCCTTTCTTTGTTGTGTTTTTCGTTTTCCAGGACCGAATTATGTGGTGGTTCCGCCCACCACTTGAGTGCCCACCAGTTCCGCCCGGTGGGTATGAGACCTGTCCCGGTACTGCCCGGGCAGGAAGAGGTCCTTGGCTTGTGTGTGGCATGTTCCTTGCGCTGCTTACGTGATGTGGTTCGTGTCCTTTTCTTTTCTGTTTTTCCCCTTTTTTGTGTCTTCTTAACAGTTTGGTTTCGGGTCGTTCTTCGTGTATAATGCCCCGGTGCAACCCCTGGTCTTGGTTTCACTGTAGGTGTATGTCTGCTGAACAGTTGCACATGTAAACAGCAGGGTTTCTCAGCTTGCAATACAGAGTCCATTCCAAGCCCAACCATGACAATTGCAGGCTGCCGCTCTCAAGCCATTATATATGGACTCAATTCTCAACCCATGATGGGCCCAATAATCAAGCCATTATGGGCTCAAATTATCAAGCCATTGTAGGCTCACTGTATTTGCAAAGGCCATGTGCAAACACACTCCACGAATAACGGCGAAGTGTTGCGGCCATTCTGGCCTCAAGCTCCTGAGCTTCAACAATTCCTCATGAGACCCCTGGTACTTCTTCACGTAGGTCTCATTGCTGTCCTTCATGTTGCATAGCTGGGACTTCAATGAATTGATCTCTTCGCGCAATGCCGTTGATGATGTCGGCATGTTGATGTGCTTGAGCTCAGTCGATCTTGTAGCTCAGCGATCTGCCTGGCAGCATTGCTGCAGTCTCGCTGCAAATTCCTTACTTAAATGGGCTGCTGGGTCTTAGTGGTTTACAAACATTGCTTGCATTATGTACATATTTCAAAAAACATGAAGACCTTTAAGCTAATTATTTAACAGTGTTTATCTACATGCTTAGCTAAAGCTTCAATAATTTTAGCTACCCTCTATTTTGTCGCTTTTTGGGCAAAGAAAAATGTGTTCTTTTGATTTGCCAAAAATTGAATTTATAACAAGTCTATGTTGTCACAATTGCATGTTTTGCTAATTTTTCTTTTCTGCATTAAATCATTTGATGCCAGCCATAGCTTTTGCTTATTTTAAGGAATATTTACAAAGGCCTATACCGGCCACTTCATGGCTTGTTGTGCATTTCATTGCAATATAGGCATGGGCTTGTAATAGCCAAACTGAGCTTGCAAAAACTGAGAATGCACCGCCACACAGCAACTACAACAATTTCATTGCTCAAAAGATGTGGCTGCTGCAGGTGTGAGACAAATGACTTCACCTTCCTTTCCTTTGGAAAAAGGAAACAGGCGATCGTATATCATCTAGATGGACCATGTCCATGTGCCCCCCGCATGCCCACATTGGTATGGGAAACTGGCTGCTGCTCTGGCCACAAAAAAAGACATCACCTGTCGTCACGACAACACCAGATGCTAAATTTGGCTGTTCCGGAAGACAAGGCCGTAAACAGTCTTTGTTTTCTTTCAGGAACGAGAAACTTTCTAGTGCGTCTTGGAAGAATTGTATACAAAAATAACCAAACAGCTTTGAAACCGCCTGTAGGTCCATTGGTGCAGGTACATCCTGGCCATGGTCGGAGCGGTGGGTGGATCGGTGGATACACACATGACACATGCATATGAGGCATACACCCAGCGCATCACCCCTCTAAATCAATCCTACTTTTCCCTTCTGTCGCTCATGTCCTTCGTTTCCTATCCCTTACCGTAGTTGCAACGAATTAAACACACCTGTTTTAAACACACACATGAAATACAGCCTTTGGTCTTTCTACTTGGCCAAACACCCGCAGCGGGTAGACCCCGACCACTCCCCTACCGCTCCTGCACTCCCTCCATCCTTCTGCTCGCCCACCGCTGCGATCAGGTGGGCTTCCCCATCATGGTGAAGGCGTCCGAGGGCGGTGGCGGCAAAGGCATCCGAAAGGCCACCAACATGGAGGACGAGCGCCGGTGGCGCGTGGAGCTGGAAGAGTTGCTGATCCTGTTGGGCGTGCTGAGTTGCTGATCCTGTTGGGCGTTGGAGTGTATACCCTGAGAGTCAAAGACCACAAACAGAATGGTCTGACTAGGGTGCCTGAAAAGGAATGTCCTTGACTTTACGAGATGGAAACGTATATATAGTCTTGGGACTTCTAGGGTATATGTTTTGGGTCATCACCGGGCTTGAAAAGGAGCTTTCTGCTTCAATTGAGAGACTTTCCGCGCATGGTTTTCTAATGGTTTTCAGACCAATGCCAAGGGACCCAGACAGCTGCACTGATGTGAATTCCCAACCACCGAGGCGTTCGTGGAAACTCTCCCATGGCGCAATGGTGGCCGCGGTGATCTGCACCTCGCTTGGCTCTGACTTCCTCTCAAGCAAAAACTCTAGCTAGGGTTTGTTCTTCCCTTTTTCGGGGCTCCAAGCACTTCCTGAGATTCGGTGGCTGTGGTGGCTGGGTGCCAGGGGGGTCTCACCACCACCTGAGGATACGGGCCCTTACGGAGCCCCTCTGGGGCGTTCGTGAAAGCCGTTGAACGTCGAGGGACCTCAGCCTCGAACTGGAAAGACGCGTTCCCACCGAACGCCCCCCAAGGAAAACCCCGGAGGTTCCACGAGTCGTCCATGCCGGTGCCTTGACTGCTCCGCCCTCCAGGAGCTGAAGTTGGCATTCACCAACGTGCACACCGAGGTGCTCCGTCCTGCTCCGTCCGAGTCGACGACGAGTAGGTCTGAGTCAGGTCCGCAGGCTGTTGGGGTCCGGTCCGTGGATCCCGGTCCGCGGACCTGGCCTTCCTTCGCGGAAAGACAACGAGTCGACATCATATACTGTATACCGAGCTGCATTCATCGATGACCTTCGATCCAAGGTCGTTATACCTAGATCTTCCAACTATGCAACATTTATGCCTGTTGGCTGGTTTTATACACTAAAAGGCATAAAATTTGCATAGTTGGAAGATCTAGGTATATGAATTCACTGCCGAAGCGACATTCGGAGCGCTATGTGTCTGGTGTTCGATGGTTTTCAGGTGACCTTTGTCCTCTAGTTCCTGGGTGAACTTGACACTTGATTCCTGAGAGCAGCCATCCGAAGGAAGTCCCGTCCCAGGCGCGGCAGTGGACCCTGCCAGTCTGGGCAGTGGACCCGAACTGGAGATCTTCTTGAGGGATTCAACTCCAACACTTGTCTGATTGGAAGTAGAAAACCACCCCGATGTGTTTTTTAATGCTATACATGAATATAATATGAAGTGTATACACATTGTTAAATCTTTGTTCTATTAGGTAACATGTAAACAGTTCATTCTACGTCTTTGAAACCAGGCCATTCCTTTTTTCGACCAACTCCCGGTGGCCAACGTGGCAGGTGCCAGGCTCCCCGATCTTCTTGATGCCCACCCGACCTGTTTGGAGCGGGTGGCGGACCCACCGGTGGCCAGACATGGTGTCGGTCATCATGTGCTATAGTTACATGCTGAGCACCCGGCAGCCTTCCAAGACCATGAACGCAATAATGAGTGTAAATTCGAGTAAAACATTGGTTGTTCAGTCAAGGCCACTGAATCATTATAGCTAAGAAACAATTCACCTGTCTGTCAACATGTTCCAAACACATGCTGCATCTACCAGGACCTTCACTGCCAGGTCACCGCCTGCGACTTTGGATCGTCTCCATTTCAGCCTCCATGTCAGAGACCTGTTTATCGTCGTCGGGTGCCATGTATACATGGGAGTCCTACCTAAGGACCCAAAAGCCTATCCCAGTTCGGTACCCCAGTAAGGTCCTATTTACGGTCACTTAACCTCGGTAGATCGATGTTGGGTCCCTTCTTCCCTTTCGGAACCTTCACTTCGGCCCGCCGAAGTCAGGGGTACCCCGACCGACCCTGACGACCCAACTGACCTCACTCGCCAGGCGCATGGTCTCCAAGGCTCGACACTTGGAGGTTCAGATCCTGGGCGACGAGTGCGCCGGCCGTGCCATGCGCGAGTCGCGGCGGAACGCGCGAGTCGCGGAACGAGAAGGAGATTGGGCGCGGAACGGGTGGGGCGCGGGTGACGGGCGGGGCGCGGGTGACGAGATGGGCGCGGAACTTCTTGGTCTTGCGGAGAAAGGGGAGAAGGAAGAATCAGGGTCAGGAGCTTCAAAATGGGCTTCGAAGGGTGGAGGATGGGTGGAGGATGAGGTACTTTAGGGTTGGGAGGGAGATGGGAGGAGGGATGGGTCCTTCTTCTGGGGCTCAAAACATGAAGAATCCATGAGCCCATGGGGTCGGAGGTTTTGGTCTTGTAGCTTTCAGAAAGACTTGCAAACCCTAGGGATCCAGTCGTACCTTCTCAGAAGGCAACTGGACCCGAACCTGGCCCCCGGGCCCCCAGTCCCGTACCTGAGAAGGTACGACTGGATCCCTAGGGAAAGAATAGGGAACGACCTGGGTTTTGTCGCGTGCCATTCCTTAGATCTCCTTGTTGACATCCTTCCTAGCATGGTTCTGAAAGTCTCAGCCCATGAAATCGGGCCACAAAACACATCGGCGGGCCACGCACCCCTCGGGGTGGCTGACCGATTCGGACGGACTGCACGGACGCCCCCACCGCGCGGAGGGCCCGTTCACAGCGGCTCGCTGGTCTGGATTCCAACACGGTCGTTTTCTCCGCAAGTCGGACCACCTGGAACCCCAGTTCACCGGGTTGCAAGTCTGGAAAATGGTCGAACACATTCGAAAACCACCGGTCAATTCTCTGGTTCTATGTGAGTTTGCGGGAGAGTACTGGTAGTAAAGATTTTACACGACAAAACCAGGTCGTGCTTATGTTTTTAACTGGTCGATCGAAAGGCGACTGGGTCTTCACCCCCAAAACTCCATAGTGATAGGCGATAGGGTGATTGTTTGCTTTCCCGTGAATGCACTGGCATGGGGACGATATGTTATTTGGATTTCTTAAGCAAATCCAAGTTGTCCTCATGTTGATCCACTTGAAGATATCAGATTGATTGTGGCTTATTAAGCCACCAGATGATGCGGGTCTTTGACCCTGCAATTGAAGGGGGTTTCATTCATCAACCGCCCATGATACACTCTGACTCTCGCCCAACTTCGCGCCAAGAAGGCGACTTGTATGTTCAACCTTTGCATTGGGAGATGACTGAACCCACTGATGATACTTACAGACATAGACTACCAACATAAGACTACCAAAGTCTCATTGCGAGCTTATCGCGGCCGGCCGGCCAAGAACCACGGTCCAGCTGGCCGGCCGGCCGGCCGTCTGGAAACCATTACTTAGAACATCATAGAACATTGGGTGGAAAACATCATCATTTGGGGGTCCCCCTAAAAACATCATTCGCGGGTCCCCCCTAAAAAAGTACAACTCGGGTCCCCTCTAGAAAGTATGGTTTGTCCAACATATGTTCTACAAGATGTTCCAAGCGTTACTAACTATAATAGTGATCTCGATCCCCAAATAGATCGTGGCACGGTTTTCAACACATTTTTAGTGGAGATCTACTTTTCTGTCTATGGGGTTCTCCATATAGGTTTTCAAGGGAGTTGAACTCACCCACATCCATATAGGTACGGCAACACCTTGGCGTTGAACGGCCGTGATTGCTCCACGCAGCGGCGCTTTCAGCCGCTTGGAGGGGTTGGAGGTGGGATGCGTGGAGGGGTGGTGTGATGCGCGAGAATTGGCTATGTATGGGTTGAACTACCGGTCTGCGAAAACATGACCGACTGTGGACGGTGTTTTTTTTCGCCGGGACACGTGGTACACCTCTATTCCTGGTATATAACTCTCTTATACCGTCTCTACCTTTGGTGGTTTCCTTGTCTCAAGTAGTATCGATGTGGAACACGCAGGTATGAGGGCACCGAAAAGAGGTGATGAACCGGGTGTCCAGAACCATCCCCTTCACAAGCCCTGGTTCATGTGCACACATTGTTCTTGCTCGGAAGCGCTACGTGAAGGGTTCCGAACTCCCACGTGGCGCACGGGTCACGCTCCCGTCTGTGTTGACTTGAAATCCATCTTGGAACACTGACTGAGCGAATTTGTTGGAGTATTTCTCCCCAGCCACTCACCGCAGCTGTTTCCCCTTTTTATGAAAGACCTGTTTTTCCATCCACCTAACAGACACGCCCGACTCCTTAAAGGCGCCGGTCAACCGGCGCCCCCCCATGACTTCCCTTTGGCGGCCGCTAGACCGCTCCAACGCGGACCTTTGTCTCACCAGAAAGCCTTACGTTTGGTACCTTTCGTCGGGCCACACGAGGAAGATCTTCGAGGAGGGACCACCCACGATCGCCAAGAAGGACGTGTCCCTCGGAAGCGAGCAGATGGTGCACGTGGTTCGCGGTTGGAACATGTTGGAAGAATGAGTGTATCCCATACACTCCGGACTGGCATATTTACCTACATTGGGGTGGCTTTAGGGGTCAATGTATGTAAATATTACATGGAGTGTATGGGTATTGTTGGGTTGATGGCTGAAAGCTTATTAAGTTACCAGTCGTACCATAGTACTAGAGCCACCAGTCGCATGGGTTCAGGTTTGCCACCCATCAATATATATATATACACTGGGGTGCCAAAAGTTGCGCTTCTTGACTTCTA